AGTTCAAGTCCTTGGCCAGATGGCCCCTCACAGGCAGATGAAACGTAGTGGTAGATATACACTGTGTAAATACACCCTGATCAAGGGAGCTCCTCTTCGCGGCCCTGATAGATCACTATCTAAGCCTGAGGATAAACAACCATCTGCCATGCAGTCACTGAAAACCTGCAGACAGTCAACACAGCCCGCTATGGCACATGGTTTCTTTTCCCTGATCTCTAGTATGTTCAGCTGAACAAAATGCATGGTCATAGAGTCCAAGACTTAATCCTGTTGGCCCACTGTCTAAATCATACACCAGTCTTTTAGACAACGTGCGTAATGGATTAAACTTTAATAAACATGAATTAGGAATGTGGTTGTAAAGGCCAAACACATAAAAGCATTGTTTGTGTTCATTCAGGTAGGACAGTACACTATAAGTAACACTTTCCAGCGGCACTACAGCATGATTGCTGTCATTGTTTTTTCATTATGATGTAAAGAATAATGTTGTGTAGATATATACCACCCAGCTGTAAATACTGCTGAGGTGTTTACCATTGGAGAATTTGCATACAATTACCCACCCAGGTTTAGAGACACAATTCAGGGCCTGTACTCCTGGTTTCGTATTCACTGGAGCCTTGCTGTCTGCTGATTTGTACATTAGAGTCTTCACCCCTACTTTTTAATGTTAGTTATTATTATTAATCACCTGCGTGGTTGACCACCATCAGCAGCATTATGCCGTATTATGCCCCTGATGTTGGTCTAGCAGTAATGACTTTGATGTCTGTGTGGTATGCTCTGTCTGATATCACCTGCATGTTGTGATGCTTTCACTGTTCCTGTTAGGCTGCAAGAGGATCCTCCAGCTGGAGTTAGTGGGGCCCCATCAGAAAACAATATCATGGTATGGAACGCTGTCATTTTTGGGTAAGTTGATTTGTTAAAATAAAACATATAAATGGGAGGTTTTTGGCAATTTTAGTAATCAAATGTTTTGTAGAGTTGTCACTGCTTGTTTTTGGACATATGTTATAAAGCTGTAGTTCATGTCAGCAGGTTTTTTGAGTATTTCAGACTAGAATCTGAAAAGTTATTTGGAGCTTTTTGTAAGTGATGATCTACAACCTGTTTGTTACCTCTCTTTCAGACCGGAGGGAACACCTTTTGAAGATGGTATGTATTCTGAAAAGCTCTTCACATTCAAATAATTTGTCTTTCCAACTCTGATATGACAAAGATTAGGCAAATACTCATGCTGATTTTAACCATCAGATATTGGAAGTTAGATTATATTGATTGATATCAGTAGCTTTTAAATGAGCCCTTGAAAGTGAATCAGGAGAGAGTTTTGTTTTGCTTGTTAACTAGTGATCGGCTCTCGAACATCGATCAGATGGAGTGTATTTAAAGAAGTTTAGATGTTTAAACGAATAACTTATTGCACTGGACTCTGTCCAAGAAGGCAAACTTTGACTTGGGAGTTAATTCCCTTACTGTTGCCCTCAGCATCTGTGGACAATAAAAATAAGTGTTATAAATACAGCTTTCATTGGTCTTTACTTTAAGCAGCACCATTTCACTACAGATATCAGTTTCTGATCACTAACTAGGCAGCTGAGTTACAAAAATGATTTAATGTTGCTTTTGATCACCAAAACAGTCAGGTCCACAAACTGATACCTGCACTTTCTACTTGGTTACTGGATTGGACTGTTTTTAGTTAATGTATTTTAATCCAGTCTGTGTCATTACTTATTACTTTCAGGAACCTTCAAACTTACCATTGAATTCACAGAGGAATATCCAAATAAACCTCCAACAGTGCGATTTGTCTCCAAAATGTTTCATCCAAATGGTATGTACTTCAACGCCACTAACAATTTCAATAGCAGCAATTAAGTGTTTTAAATGTATCTTTTATTTTCCCCAAGAACACTGACTTGTTTTCTGTATTATCTGCAGAGTAAACGCTTTATATTCTGTGTGCTCTTTTGCAGTGTATGCAGATGGCAGCATATGCTTAGATATACTTCAGAATCGTTGGAGTCCAACCTATGATGTCTCTTCAATCTTAACTTCAATACAGGTAATCTAACATTCTTACTTACACATGAACACATCCTGTGCTAATGCAAATTAATGAAGATCAAATTTGTAGTGATAAAGAGAAATACCTGCACAATATACGTATTGCCATTTACACACGACTGTCCAGTGCTGAAATGACTGTTTGTTAAAACTAGGGCTGGTTGTTGTTTAATAAATTATGATACCAGAACCACTACCACTTCAAGTACCCTCAAAGTTATACCAATACCAGTAGAGTACTTTATTTGATACCTTTTTTCCCCACTCAATTCGATACTCTGTGAATGGAAGCATTCTGTAGCATAAAAACACCACCAGATGCCACAGGTATTAGAATAGCCACACTTTCTAACATTTTGGTGACATCTCGGCGCGCTGAACTCAGGGTTCCTACGCAATATGAAAAAGTATGGAATTTGATTTTAGTAATTACCAGGTCTGGGTATGCATTGAAAAAAAAGAGAGTATATAAATGTAATTCTTTGGTTCCAATTCTGTTTTCTAAAGTATTACATTTCTAAAAATAAATTCATCAAACAAGCAGAGTGTTTTTCATGGCATTTGGAGCAGGCAGCCAGCGCAGACAAAATGTTTACCACTGTGTCAGAGAGTGTGTGCCGGAGTGAGCTTGATGTTGAAAGCAAGGCAGGAAATATAGCGTGTGATTGAACACTCCTACACAGAGCTGCCTGTACATTACAGCCTGCAAAACAGCTCTGGACCAAATCCAGATATTCACAACCAAATTAGTTTGAAAGAAAATGCAGCAGTATCTGTGAACTGCACATATTTGAAAGCATCACAAATACAAGTATCAAGCTTCTCTGAATGTTTGAGTTACACAGTGATTAGATTATCAGAAAAGTAAACGGACTGTCTTTTCTGCACAAGGAATCCCTAACTTTATGGCTGTGTTAATTGTCATATCCATGGACACAGTAAATAAACAAGGTTGCACAGATGCTGTGAAAATGAATTAGTTCACTTTTCTCAACAGATTTTTTTTGGTTCTTAGTTATAAAAAGAAACTAAAAAATATGGGGGGAAGAATAATATAACAGCTAATGACGCAATGTGAGTGGACTTCAGTTCTCTTTTTTAGTTCCCCGGCGAATTGCACATGAACATCCCTTCTGTTACTGAAGTGGTGGAAGGTTTACAGTTATTTAAATAGCATTGTATTGTTTTAGTGTTGCAGCTTGAATCAAATGCTGTGTGTTGAAGTCAGTTCAGTTTTGTGTTAATCAGTTTGTATGAGCAACAGTACCTAGTTACAATCCTGTGGCAATTAGTTGGCAACATAGTCAAGTGTGTAACATACAGTACATGTTAACAGTTGGATTTTAAAACCATTAATCTACATCATAAACATCTAGCTATTAGAACTCAGATGAATAATATGGTCTGAAAAATGTACACAGAAGTTTGGAAATTTGACTCAGGAAAAGTATGGAACTTTGAAAAGGAAAATGTGTAGGAACCCTGTGAATCGCCAACTTGACCTCACCCATATACTGTATGGGTTGTAGTTTCGGTGGTAGTGAGGCAATCATACGTTGCATTTAACTGATGAACGCCTCCAGTGATTGGCAGCGAGCAAAACCATATCAGTGGTCATTTCTTCCTCAATCTGGGTACAAACAGGATCGAATGCAGGTAGTGTTTGACTAGATAAGTTTCAATACTACTTGGTACTGGGTTATTTCTGTCCCCCCAAAGGTATCATGTACCAATACCCAGCCCTAAGTTATAATATCATAAAACTTTATTAGAAACCTAACCCTCTGACATTCTTTTTTTTATATTTAAAGTCTTTACTGGACGAGCCAAACCCAAACAGTCCCGCCAACAGCCAAGCAGCCCAGCTGTACCAGGAAAACAAGCGGGAGTACGAGAAGAGGGTTTCTGCTATTGTTGAACAGAGTTGGCGTGACTGTTGACCCCTGTTATTGTTCGAGTACGAACAGTGTCCGGCCCAGAATCAAGAAACCACCGATCAAGAAAACTGAGCTCACAAAAAAATAAAAAATAATAAAACGACACATCTTAAAAATCCTTCTCAGTATATTTGTCCCATAACTGTTGCTAAGTTTGTATGCTGTTGTGTTGTGGCATTCAATCCTGCCGAATGCTATTGTTGGGCGATAGCGTATGTTTGTTAAAAGTTAATGTACCTTGTTATATCTGGGTTACTTGCTACATGCCCCGACTCTTTTTCTTTTTTTAAAAACAGGCGGTCTCTCAGCTGTCGCTTTTCTACCTGTTTATTTATACATGAAGTAAACTGGTTGGTTGACACGGCGACAGTTTATTAGATGTGCTTGCTGTGTGGTTTGCTGTGTAGATACCGACAGGTCAGTTTTACAAAACAAAAAAAAACAAAACAAAGGCGTTCATGGGAGTTTCTCCTTCTGTTTCAGTGGCCTCACTCCGTTTGGTTTTGTTTCTTTCTGTCTTTTGAAAGCCTTTCAGAGGGATAGAAAATTACCCTGGCATGGACATCCATCCCTCGAACAAGTTGTCAACTCAACAGATGCCTTTGAGGGTCGTTTTTCTCTCAACTGTGCTTGTAAAGCCATGCCTTTGATTTTAAAAGAGATATTGGTGAATACACACGTCCCTCTTCAACACAGAAACAAGACATGTAGTACCCTCTGTGGGTGCTTAACTTTGTTTCATGCACAGTTTCATAATGCTGATGTTTTAAGGCTGTGAGAACATTTCTATGCTATTTTACAATCTTACAGGTCAGCCGACATAATAGGCTGATACTACTGTTTAAAACAGGATGGTGTCTGTTTTCAGATTATAAGACTTTGCACTGGTAACCCATGTAACAAACTGTACATTTTCTTGTAAATAAAATAAATATACATCAATTGTCTTTGTTGCCTTTTTAACTCAGCACAAAAATATCCATCTGATGGTTATCAGTTTTAATTTATTCAGTCATTACAGCTGTGAAAACAAGCAGACAAGTTAACTGTACTCACATAAACCAACACATCTGACACTAAACAAAGATCACAGCTTACAATTTCCAGGTGAAGATTTTTCCGATAATGGTTGCAGCTTGTACTTGTAGAACGACCTCCGAGTGTTGAAAGAGCAGATGACATTGCTGGTATTGCTGTATAGAGATGTAACACTACAGTGAGACTGATATGAGCACCTAGCTACGGTTGGATGTTGATGCCTCTCACGAGTCTACTGTCAACAATGTTCACAAACAAGCAGTGGAAAGCTGCATATTCTGCCAGGTTCCTTAAATAGCCACAAAACAAAAAGTGGATTTTAGTGACCAAGAAAAAACAAAAAAACTCAGAGTCATCATCAGGACATGATACCACAAAGTACTGAACACAAGCTCGTTGTGCAAAAGTGAAACGAATAAGACACGGAATGACAGGAGACAAAAAAGACACTTATCCTACAGCCCCTGCTAAAGCTAAAGTACAGTTTATGGCAAAGGAATGCAGAAACCACAGGTGATCCCTGAAGGATTCGCATGTGTTAACATGTTGTAAATTGTCACACAAGTATAAACACAGCTGTTACACTTGTGATTTGTAATGAAGTCCGAGCCGATGTCTGATGATTTTTTTTTAAATTTTGCCCTGCATGCAAGTCAGTGAGAGGCCTGAGGTTTCACAAGTTCATATCGTCCCACCTGTCCCTCCTGTAACAGCTGACCAATCAGCTGGTCTTTGTGTACTTTGCGGCTGACAACGAGGAACCGCTGCCGTCCCTGTCCGTACGACTTGCTCCGTAGGCCGTATTTCTGTGATATCTGATGGATCTGCTTGCGTTCGTCATTGGTGAGATCAGTGGAGAAGCGAAGATCGTCCTGACGGTCTGAGCTGGCATAGTTACGAATGATGTCCTCGATATCACGCTTGCTGAGCTGGTTCCCAGTTTTGTCCGTGTCCATACCCAATCCCTCTCTGGAGAACTGTTCCTTCACTCTGATTGGTTCTGCAATGCCCTCCCCATCTCGGCCCAGGCCGCCTCCTTTCCAGCCCATCTTGCGGAGCAGCTGGTTTCCGATGTTGTCTTCCTTAATCTCCTGCCTTGTGGCCTCCTCACCAGAGCGAGCCAGGATCTGGGATCGGGATATGGCGTCGTTGTGACCTTCCTTTCTCAAGTTGGATTTGACCACAGCCTGTGTTTGCCTCAAGGTGGCCAAGGCTTCCTTTGCTGCAATGTGCTTCACTATTTTTTTGGGCCCGATTCCTGCTGCTACATACTGTCCTTCCAAGTAGACTTCACACCTCCAGCGATGATCAGGCAGAACTGTGAACTTGTAATCAGCAGACACTTTATTAAACTGCGCTGTGTCATTAATGATACAGATTGCATTGTCAGAGTTTTCCAGGATGACCAATTCACTCAGATGCTTCTTTTTGCCAACCGGTGGCCCAAAGCGTCCCCCAGAATCTGACTGATTATTTTCTCTGGAGTATTGTGATAGTTGTTGCGGCTGTTGTTGTTGTTGTGGTTGTTGTTGTTGGTGGTGGTGGTAGTGTTGCTGCTGCTGCTGCTGTTGTTGTCGTTGTGCCTGATTCATGCGAAGTTTCCTCACTGCCTCCTGAGCTGCTGCATGCTTTGAACTCTTTTTGGTACCTGTTGCCTGAGCGACCAGTTCATCCTGCAGGAAAACACTGCACAGCCAAGAGTTGTTGGGGAGCAGGTCGAACTTGTAGTCTATCTTCATGCGATTAAAAGCCGCAGAATTGTTGAGTATGCAGATGGCGTCATGAGCATTATCCATAACCACAAACTCTGTCCAGTGCTTCCGTTTGTCAGGCTCGTATTGGCCCTTGGAGCTGGGTGTGGGTTTATCCTCTGGGTTTCGGAGTGCAGGTAAAAAGCCTGGGGTTGGGCTGTGCACCTGGCACACAACCATGTCAGTGACTACCAAGTGCCTGAATTTGCGCTGCACCACACGAACCTCGACTGCTTTCAGGAAGAGTTTCACAGCCTGCTCAGAGGCCCGGTCCCTCGCTCCATTTTTACTACCAGAGTATCCGGTAGCAAGATACACACCCTGACATCTCAGTTCACAGGCATAACCATCTGTTGGTACTTTCCTGTTCTTTGGTAGGTCTGCCTGAGGAATGTCCTTCAGGTTGACATAAATATACTCAGGATTGGTCTTGCAGGCCTGAATGCTGCGGCTCAGCATGAAATTATAGTTTGGCGATTCACTTCCGGTCATGAACATAGGGTCCCTAAAAGCAACAGCCAAAGCAGACGCTACATTGGAGATCAGCCTTTGCTTCTCATCTAACGTTGACTGAGATATGGGAACAGGCTGCAACGAAGAGCCCAGCTGAGATGTGGTGGGACTGCTCCTGCCCGGGCTGTTGTAGACTCGGCTGAATGGCCTGCTTGATGACGGCCGGTCCTGATGACCGTACCCCAATCCCTGACGTCCAGATTCCCAACCTCCTGATCTGCTCCCTCCCCCATATCCATTGTATCTGTGGGGGAGAGAATAGGAGTCCGAAGTTCGTGAGGAGTGGGCTTCATACTTGGCTGCGTATTCCTGCTGTGTTTTTGCCATGAAGTTTGAAGTGGACCCACGTCCTCCATATCCCAGCCCACTTGTGCTACCTGAAAAACTCTCTCTGTCTCTTTCTCTGTCTCTGTCTCTATGGGGACCCCATGAGTCAGAACTGTATGAGGGCACTCTGTCAAAAGCAGGCCTCAGAGAGGAGGAGCCCTGCGCTCTGCTAGTGCTGCTGTACGAAGAGTGTTCAGAGTCCCGTCTCGCACTGTATGACTCACTCCTCCTGCGCTCCTTATCGTTCTCCTTCTCATCAGCGCCAGTTCCTCCGCTGCTTCCACCACTGACAAAGTGTACAGGCTCGAATCGAGGCCTGGAACCAAATTTTGACACAGGCATTTTCCTCATGGGCTCGTCTCCTGCAGGAACAGGACACAGGCGGGCAGTTAGAAAACCAAAAAGGACGTCTGACTTTACTTGAATGAATGGGCACACCAGGGTTAATGTGATAAAAGTCCTATGAGGCTAGTGTGATAGATAGCATTCATATCTTCAAACAGGATGCTGTGACAGGACTTAATGGTCAAGTTTCTGAAGTAGGCAGGTCAAAGTCTGTTCAATGGGCACTTAAGTCATCGTGCGTAGGCAGCATTTACCTCCTCAACCATCCCTACTCACAGAGGAGGTAGAAGTACATGTTTTAAGTGCTGAGCAATACAGATCTAATCCTTTAATGGAAATGGCTGGTAAAAGTCTGTATTTTTTTTATTGTCAATGAATCCCATGAAAAAGTGCAAGAATTAATTGATCCTGTATCATCTGTAAAGCCAAAGCCTGATATATCTTATTCCTCTGTGCCATAGGCTTCCATCGGTGTAGCAAAAACTGCTAGAGACACATACATAAGCCACACAGCTGCACCCCCTGACATGTTCCTTCATAAAGATGAACATGGGCACTGACTGTGGTGTATTAAGAGCCAATCCTACATAGCCTAAACTGTCCTTCTGCCTTAAATATTCATTTAGGCATCTGAAAATAAATGCCAACAAATACATTATATATTCGTGTTTGAGTGACATTTGTTAAAAATAACAGTGCCCAAATGAGAATTTATATGTGTGGCCTGTTTTTAAAGATTTACACATTCAGTGGGAATGAATGGGCTCGGCCTGAAAGCCACAGACAGGCTGGAGAGGTTTGAGAAAAGTGAAAAGGCAGACATAAAACTTAACTGGTCTTTTCATGTGTAGTAAACATGAAGAATAGTGTCAGCCTTATTATTGCAGCCTGATATATGTTACTACTGTAAAATGTTTGGATTGTCCCCCAAAAAAGCAAACCAGTCTTCTGTTCAATTACTTGACTTTCCTCATGTCCAAGAGCAGTTATAAAAGTGTGATATGAATTATGTATATATATATATATATATATATATATATATATATATATATATATTAAACACAAACAGTAGACAACAATGTGGATATGGAAAACTTTTAAACTCAAACACATACTACACAACCCAGATCAACACTCACTGCCATCAGAAGAAGTAGGTCTCTTTTTTGCTTCAGAACTAGGACTTTGGTCAAAGGAGGGCATTTCGCCAGTGTCAGTCCCTTCTGCCATCACCAGCGCCGTCCAAATCAAATCCAGGCCATACCTGTCATTGAGGCCAGAAATGTAAGTTAGACACAAACGCACAAATGGATTAAACAAACAAACACAACATCTGGTCATAATGAGTTTATGCTCCATGCTGCCTTTAGAGGCTCAAAACATCTCCTGGAAAACAAACACCACATGGGCCGTTCCTGTTTTGCAGCAATGTTTCAGCCTCATTACTTTTGGAGAAGGGAAAAAAAAGATGGGATTTTCATGGGGGATTTTTTATTCATATAAAAATAGTGACATGTAACTGTCAGGAAAACATTAGCCAATCTTAGGCACTCAAAGAATAATCCTTATGGGTGGGGATTAGTTTTTGGTCTACAGACCCATCCCAGACACATGATCAATGATAGAAATGGTAAAAATGTATAAATAAATAGCCATATTTGTAAGTATTTATATGTATGTCTGTATGTATAGAGAGGTAGTGAGATTGATAAATAGGTATTGATAGTTAAACATGGCCTGTAAGTTAATATTATCTAAAACATTTTGAGCATTTTATAATCTTATGGCTCATAGTTCTTGAGTTAAGTTGTTAACTTTGCACTGTGAGCATGGAAAAATGACCCACATGTGCTTAAAAAAGATCTGTAAAGTAAAAAGAAGTGTTTTAACGTACATTAATATGTGTTTATGTGATACAGAAGACCTTAAACCATTTGTTAGAAATGTTTAACATATTTTAGAGTAGAGAAATATGAATAATTCATGGGGAGATAAATGTTGATGCATGACAGGGATGGACTGGCAGCAGCATGCAGAGACTGAAACACAAACCATGTGTCTGGACAAAACATTATATTGTACAATTAAAAATATAATGAATATGATGGTAAATGAGATAAAACAGGTGCATGTTGTGCCACCACAAGGCCCTGACAGAGTGACGCAGTAGGCCGACATACAGTGCATCTCTCACAACCAAACATGTTCAAAAAAAATAATTTGTCAACAATTAAAGGTGTCACTACTGAGCTGTGTCATATTCCTACCTTAAGGTGTAGCCTTTGGTCCGATTTATATCACTGTTCTTCCGCTGAGTGAGAGACAGTACATTTATTTCTATGATCAGTTGTCTGTTATTATCGTGTTAGCCTCTTTTAGCTAACTTAGCTAACACTGGCAAACCGGTGGTGTCTGCTAGCATTAGCCAGCTAGCTGCTAGCTGACCCAGCTCCACTTCAGCCACAACAGCCTCCTCATATAATTTTATATTAGCTTCAGCTCGTCTCTAGAGGAACCAGACATGTAGGCTTGTGTCGTCTGAGTGTGATATCCGAGGCGGGTGGTTTAAAGTGCTGCGCAAAATCTGCTGGGAGCTACAGACAGCGACTCAGCTAACTATCAGGAAGCATCCATTTTCTGGTCCAGCTCAGCTACAGTAAAAATCATGGCGTCGGTCCGTCACCACACTGACCCAGAATGCTTTGCCGCCGGACGGTTCAAGCACAGCGGGCTGATGCTGCTCTACGTCATTCATGTGTACATGTGGTTCAGAAACTGAATGAGATAAATGTAGAAACATCATTCATGACATTGTTAGTCAGTATCCCAGCACGTGTTATCAAGGAGTTGGATAAAATTATATCTGATTATCTTCGGATGAAGAAAAAAATATATAAAAAACAAAAAAAAATTAAAAATTATTTATTATAGTAGTAGATCACAAGGTGATCTGGAGATCTTGGATATTAATATCTTAAATAATACATTCAAAATTAAATGGATTTTTTTTAATCCTGTCTTTGTAATGCTTTCCTCACATATTTATTTAAATCTACATGTGGCATGATTTGTTAAAATGCATTTTTTCTGTGATAATATCCCAATTAAATTAGGCAACTTTCATAAGCAAGCCTTTTCAGCCTGGCTATTAGTATATAAACACAATTTTAGTCCCCATAGATACTTAATCTGGAATAAGGATATTCTATCGAAAAATAAATCGACAGGTGATAACCAGTGGAACCTGTAAAGTTGTATTTCAGATTTTCATGAAATTCAAATCTCCTTTTTGACATTATCTATGGTCTACTTTCTTTTTCTTTTTGGGGGGAGAATAGTCATTGAACATATTTACATTCCATAATAATAGTCTTGATTGTTAGTGGCGGGGTCCGCCATTCCTGAGGTGGATTAATTTTGCCTTTAAATGGATGGAAAAGATACACATTATCCAGTGTTACTGTAATTTTGAATAACTGGAATCAGACTCACTGTTTACCATTAACTCTCGGGTCTCCTTTATAAAACAGTGCATAGGGTCCATACTAAAATTGTATATGTGAACAAAAGCTGAAAAGGGTGTGCGCCAAAAAAAAGTCTGATTTATAAAACCCTGTGTACGCCTGGCAATCTCTTTGGAACTGTCCACACTTGGATCAACCTCATATCCATATTCTATACAAAAATAAATCACTGTTTTATCACCCATGGTTTGACAATGGTCCATCCAATAGGTATCAATGCATTGTTTTCACCACTTAAATGTTGCAGCTGGTGAAGATGCAGCTCATTTTAATTACTGTGTATACCGCTGGGTTGTTTAACCTATTATATATCATACTCTATTGGTTGATTATACTTTGTATTTATAGTCTAAATCTACAAAGAAAAGTTAACTAAAGCTGTCACACAAATTTAGTGAAGAGTATGATATTTTCCTCCAGCATGTAGTGAGTAGAGGTATAAAGTAGCTGGAACTAGGACCTAGTGAAGTAAAGCACAAGTGCCTCAAAATTGCACTTGAGCACAGTAAATGAGATGTATTTTTATTTTATTTTCATTTTTATTTTTATTTACAGCCCATAAAAACAGTGCTATCTCCAAAATACATTATTTGGGGTAACCATGAGATTCAAACACTGTAAATAAATGACAAAAGCTTAACATGTTCGGATCATATTTTTTATTGAAAATGTACATCAATGGAATCAAACTAAAGTAAGATATTTAATTATTTGTAGTGTGGGAGAGTTTCTGACTACAAGAGGTGATGACTGATACTAGAAAAATGTATGGCATTTTCTGACACCAAAATGTTACTTTACACTCAGAGTCACGTCCAAAGGTCATAGGTAATAAACAACAAGTCTCCACTTCAATACACAAAATATATCCTTATAAATTATACAAATGCATGAGCATCTTTTTTTTTCTTAATACTCCTAACTGGGATTTAGTCCAACTCCATCTTATACTAATATTTGGCAAAAAGGGAGCTGAAATCATAGGACAGAGCAAATATACATTAATAATATGCACCATTTGAAGAAAACAGCGATGAAGATGAAATAGACTGTAAAACTGTAAAGTTATTAGGGGATAAAATCAAGCAGGTTCAAAGATCACAGCGGTAATGAAATAAAAAGATGCATGCAAAAAAATATACAGAATAGGCTGGTGAATATTAAAGCACAATGTGTAATAAAAGGCCATGACATGTGACCTCCATGGTATTAAACAGTGACATGTAAACATGGGCACCATAAGATGAAGTGCTAAGTAGAAATATTGCTTTGGCTTTTGCATGATTATGACTCTTTATTTAATTTTAATGTTGAGAAAAAACCCTGACGGCAGGAGGTTTTTATTACATGTTGTGCATTAAATGCTTCTGTCCTTTATGAGTGTTTTTTTAATCAGCAAGACTCAGTGTTTCAGTTTTATCTTAATGTGCGCTTTGTATTAAGAATCCTGTTAAAAAGATGAGTGCATAGTGCAGGTCATTGCAAATTTAGTTTCAAGTAAAGATCAAATAATGATTTCACCTGTGAGTCCTGCAACCCCAACTGATGATGACTCCCTAGTAACTACAGGAGTCTCTTTATTTACATTAAGACATAACAGCAGATTTAAACTGTGCCCGGTTCCCAACCTGCATGCTTTAGAGCTTCACTAGGTGGTCAGAAATACCATGCGAGTCCACATAAGACCATAATCAACGAAAAGAGATGCGATGGGAAGAATAAAAAAAGGGTGTTGAGACAGTGAGAAAAAACGGGAGGAGGTAAAGGGTGCTTAGTTCTTGCTGAAGCTGCAAACATCCCCTCTTCAGTTGGTCAAGACAGATTAAAAGAAGCTAAAGAGACAAAGAGAGAGAAAGCCAGCAGTTAGAGAGGTGGCAAAGCAGAGACGTTTACAAAAAAGACAAGCTTGAGGTTTAGAGGTGCATCTGGTATCAGGTAGAAAATAGATTTGATGATTATAAATATAAAAGTAGCTAGTAACATCCCTGGGATCGTTTTCAAACAACACATTAAGCATGAAATCATGAGATTATATTGTGCCTGCTGATGATTTTCAAACAGTGAATTAATTAAAGTGATTGTCTTCTCATCTGTGGTCCGTTTAGGTGTGAAAAAATGTTAATAACAATCCAACTTTGACAACAAATGAACAAGTGCGCATGTAATATCCACCATGTGGAAAAGGTGTTAGTCACAGCATACAAAAAAAAAAACACATAAATACAAGCGGAGGCAAAAACACAGCGAGAATTAGAAAGCTGAGGTTAGAGCTGCAGTGACACACGGATACACATTAATCATATTATAGCAGAGCAGGTAATGATTAAGAAACCCTGAAGGACGGGGTCCACAAAGCCTCTGGTCACATTTGAGGTACTCAGTACCCACAAAGGCTGGTCCCTTAGCAAAGCTTGAGGGCTGAGGACCTACTCAGTGCAGAGCCAGGGATTACTGCAAAGGAAAGTGACACCACACAGACCAGTGAGCTGAGGATTAGGAGGGAATGGCTCTTTGACTTGATGTATTTTGACCCTTGTGTCATGTGGAATATGTTGTCATGCAGCAGTGTCTGGAATCCAAGACAGTTTTCTCTTTTTAAAGACAATTAAACAACCTTGAACCTTTGGGCAGCGTTAAAACAAGGAATAACTGAGGTCAACAGAAGGCGACACGTATTGGCATCGACATTCCTTCACTGTTCAAGTCAAGCAAACCCACTGTCCCCATTTGGAGTTATTAAACTTTCATCTAATCTCCTGATTTAGAGCAATATTAGTCATACACAATGATTATGGCCACAGTTGTAATATTTGGTGAAAAATTGGCCTTTATTTTCTTTTGAGATAATAATTCTTTTATGTTTAACATTGATACAAAACAACACCGGTCCCTGCAGGACAACGGACATGATGGTGACTGACTTTCAAATGTGCCTTCATAATAAGTAAAATAAAAAAGAAAGTTACAATTGCACTGACAACATTAATACATATATATATATATATATATACTTAAAAAACATCACATTTGTGTATAAAAAAAAAGTGCAAATGTGAAAGCTAATACAGGTATGCACATGACACATGACAATGAACGAGGTATGGGAGAAGTGGCAAAGAGATTAGGCTCACAACTACTCATGCATCTGGATAAAGTGAAACAGCATCAGCAGAGGGACAAAAATACTAAACAGATTAAATAAATTCATACTGTTTTGGAAGTCTGGTACATACACGGCAGAGGTGATAACCAGTAGGACCTTTAAAGCTGTTTTTCAGATTTTCATTAAAAAATAAAATCTCCTTTTTGATCTTATTTATGGTCTGCATTTTTTCCTGAAATAGTCATTGAATGCATCTACATTCTGTAATAATAGTCTACACTGTTGGTGGCGGGGTCCGCCATTCCTGAGGTGGATTCATTTTGCCCTTAGATGGACAAGGGATTATGGGGAAAAGATGTGTGTTATCCAGTGTTACTGTCATTAAAAATCAACAATATCAGACTCACTGTTTACTGTTCCCTCTCACACAGCTAAATCAGGGCTCTCGTTTATAAAACACTACTAAAATTGTATGTGAGGGCAAAAGCGGAAAAAGGCGCCAGAGTTTCCATACAGGTGCAGTCACAGGAAATGCAATGTACTCGTCACTACGATGAGCGCTAACAAAGACGGCTGATCAAAAATGTGTCTACAAAAGAAGACCACTGTCATTTATTAGCACCGTTTGACAAATTAAGGTAAACTGAGTAACTCGCACTGTGTGTATACTTATCACACTACTAAAAAAGTGTTTGGCTGACAGTGTGAGTTTCTTTTGTCTTGGCTGTAAACATACACCAGTTGCTAGTCTGTTGTATTTCTGACAAAGCAGCTGCTAAGCAAGGCCCTGACACACCAAGCCGATAGTTGGCCGTCAGTCGTTGTTGGTCTGTCAGTGAGCGTCTTTTGCCCTAGTTTTTGCGGTACGTCCCACACCATTGCCCCTTCATCAGCCCCCCTTGGCTTTGTTTTAGCCGATTCAGCATGTTGAACCGGCGTCATAGACAGCAGAGTCCGTCGGCGAATGAAATCACTCTGATTGGCAGTTCAGCTCAGTGCACGAGAAGAGAAACGGAAGTGAAGAAAGTAAACAAACAGCTAAAGTCAAGAGGGAGTCAAACCAAACCAAACATGTTACATTTAGTTTACTTTAGCCATTGAGCTTTTTAGCAGACACGTTTCATGAAGGTTTGTGTTATTGTTCACTGGCGTACAGTAAATATACTCAGTTCTTTCAACACTGGATTGTGTTGTTAATGTGCTAACTGGCTAACTAGCATTGAGATAGCCTTCCAGTTTCCCTTCCCTTTTTCCCATCTGCTGGTATAAAGAGTTATTTCCTCTCACGCAAGTGCAGAACATTCAGGCTGGTCGTCTTTGCGTCGTGTTTATGTGGAATATTTTGGCCGAGACACAGGTGATGCAGCAGTCGGCTTTCGTTGCCGCTAGTTCTTTGAAGTTGGCACCTGCGGGTGTTGCTAAAATAAACCAGGACTGAAATCTTAAGGATTATAATTATCCCTACCCCGAGCCCAAGCTCATGACTAATTACTAACAAGTACGTTGTTGTTAACATTGTCAAGGTAAGTAGATATTTCAGAAACAGCTACTGAATAGTTTGTAACATTGAAACAGACAAAGCCGATTGCTGTTCTTTAATCTGAAGATGGATCAACATTTACTTAATCCAATCCTCAGATGTCTTAATTCTGTCTTCTCTGTAATCTACTGCAGACCACACAAACATCCTCAAGTCCCACTGTCTGATGCGTGTTTCACTTTACCCTCAACACATTTCTGCCCATCACAACAGTAGTCATGTATGTTAATATTCAAAAAAGCTCACTCCGTCATGCAATTAAGCACTGAATACAAAACAAACATGGAATGCATTATTTTGTAAATTCATATAAAAAGACAAGCCGAATAATTGCTTGTACAAATCATATAACAGACAAGCATCATTCAGCAAAAAAAAAAAAAAGTGATGTCAAACTGATAGCAATGCCCAGCGTCTTCCAGAGAGCAGGGAGGGGCATGTGGAGGGTTGAATTATGGGGGTTGGGTGAAGGTGAGGGTGGGGAAGGGGTACTGTAAAAAGGATGATGGGGTGGAAACTCATTCACAGCAGGATGGCCACAAGGGAGCACTTTTTCTACAGGAATCCTAAGCTGGAAATGAGAGAGAAGGGGCTGTTATTGCTTTCTTTTGAGTTAAAACATCATCACGACACACACTGTTTCACATGGGTGACATCACATTAACATTAGTGACCACATGACATTTAGAGGAGATCGTGCTTTCAAGGCAACTCAAAGAGGTTTGAGTGTACAGAGGTTAGGGTGCAAGTACAGTCGTGTATTTTGTGTCATCAGAAGAAGAAATTTTGTCCCGCCCCTGAGCTTTAAACAATGTGTCTGATTGTACTCTTCGAACAGCAGCTTGTTTTCATCTATTTTAACAGTCCTGAGCTGCTTGAGGAGTTTACAGATTGTGAGACAGATGTCTTGGTTCGATTCCACCCTCCCCAGCGGTTGAGTCTCAACAACATCTCCCTCTGTGGATTTGGCTCTTGTATCCACTCAAGAGGGAGGGGTGGGCGGAGGGGGTCGTCATATGGCTGTGAGATCAACAAAACATGTCATCTCCACAAACAGAGACGAGCCCCGAGGCTGGTTGCTGCTCTGGTGTGACCTGTTAGTCTCAGTTCAGCCTTGAATGGCTCTTTGTGCGATCGCAAGGCCGGGTGGGGAAGTAGAGCCACAAAAAAAGAGACTGTTGTGGATTTAGGGAGGCAGATGGGGCAGTATATCAAATGGGTGTGTGGGGAGCTAATAAACTGGTTAATTTAGAAGCTGGCGCAAGGACAGTAAACACTGCCAGCTCAAGGATATGATCGACACAGATGTTAGCAATGATATACTGTAGCCCTGTGAATATCTTAATGCCTGTGCCCAATTATCACAATCTAACATAACTTTAAAGAGCAAATTAAATGCATGTTAATTTTGATAATATTCAAACAGCTTTGAAAGGTTCATTGATTTTTGTTAAAGTCTAATGTGGAGATGCAGCCTGTTCTATATTTAGGTGAGGAGCAGGATGTCACATTCAATGAAGGACAAAAATGGAGAGTATCCACAGAACAGATTAAATCTCCAGACAATAGGCAGCGGAGAAACATTTTCGGTTCTTTGATCTACCTTTTTTTAGCAACAATTTATTTATTTATTGTATTTAGCAGTGATCCTTTTTCATGTACATGTCACATATTAAAAGTATAAACCTCATTTATATTTTTTCATAGTTGTATTTTTAGATCGTTGGTGGTGTCTTACCAGAAGAGATGCCCCATGCAGCATGCAGCAAGTGTGGGAGGAGTTAACTGGAAAACATTATGGATGCAACATAGGTGACACATGCACTCACAGGACAGATTCACATCTACACAACAAGCAGAGATCAATCACAGTGTCATCTGGGAACTGAAGAAAACACTGACAGATACAAACAAACATTAACGTGTGCAAGACCTCTCTAGTCAGTTTTAATCAGTGACCCACAGACAAAAGTTGCACAGCTGCCCCTTTTTGGGAAGAGGAACTTTCCAGGCAGAGCTCATAAAGAGAAGAAGTGGCTGTGAAGAAAATAAATTAACAAGGAAGGAAAAAAATAAAGCAACAAGAACCTTCTCAGTGCAAGTGTCTTCTTCCTTTTCTAACAGGCACGGCGTCACATCAGCTTCAACACAAAACCAGGAGTTGATTACCAACATGAAGGGACCAACAATGTCAACAGCACGCTACAACCATATGAGAACACATCTGGCTTCAAACGCTGTCTGAAACATGTTGTGGAGAACAGTCACATACACTAATTATTTAAAGAAACCATTTATATTAACCATGTGAGGAAAAACAAATATGGAAAACTGAGAGTTCATGCTGTCGGTTCATTAAAACCAGAGGAGTGGCCACTGTGAGGGACGATTTAGTAGTTTCCATGACGCAACTGTAACAATATGAACTCTGATTCTTAATCATCAGCTCACTTTCAAGTTAATGAGACTGTCCAGTGACTGTTAACAGAGTTGCAATATAGTTATTTGCACAAATCTGTTCGGAGTATTAATTTCATAATGTGTGATGATTTCTGACAGTTGGCAACTTCTCAACTATTTAGATGAGGACAGCGACTCATTGTCACCAGTCTCTCCCCCTCTCTGCTCCTCGTAATTCCCCCCTTTGGTCATAAATTATAATTCTGCTCAGCTCTTTGAGCATGGAATTTAGCGTTGAACATAATGTAGAGAGGGTACACTAGAGCAGAGAGAAGTCTGAGGCTTAGCCGGAGCCTTTCACTACGCATTAAATATTAGGCAGATTATTAACAAGTGGTGACAGAGAAACCATTAAGTGCTTGATATTAGTGGGACAGACGAAGATTAAGTTCTGTCTGCAGCACATGTGCACAAAGCAGCATAAAGGCTCAAGGAATTTGCACTTTTATCAGAATACAGCTACACATTTTAGACTAATGCACAATATAAGGACCCCAAAGGCTTTACAAACAACTTCTCACACATCGGCAATAATATTTATGCACTCATCTGGCAAATTATCTACATCCTGAAATGTCAGTGTTATAATATGTGGCCTTGTTCCTCCCAGCTTCAAAGTATCCAGACTTTTCCAGTCCTTACACAACTGGAGCTCGTCTCCTGCACCTAAGATGTCAGGACAGATGTAAGGAAGGCACAGGAGGAAGAGAACAATACTTACTTTTTCCTCTCTTTGTCCCTCTTGAGTGTGGTGGAGCCCCCTGCCTGCTGGGCTTGGTTCTGCAAGAGCTCTGCAGCAGTCTTTTTCTGTTTGAACATGTTGAGCTCATCATCCAGGGACTTCTTCTTCTCCTCCAGTTTCTTTTTCTCATCCTGGTGGAGCTTCTTCAGACGGTCGAACTTCTCGTGCAGCTATGTGCCAGTGACAGAAAAAAACAACAACAATGCTGTGTGTTATTCAAGACAAGAGTGGAAGCTTCCTTGAACAAGTGAAGCACATGATGTTTCAGGATTTCAGGATGGTGTCAGATCTAAGTTTGAGGACAGTACCTCTTTCTCTGCTTCTTTGAGCTCGGCCTCCTTCTCTTTGACTCTTTGGACGAACATTTGCCTCATTTCCTCTTCTTTCTTCTGCAGCTCACCCATGAACTCGTTCCTCTTTGCTTCGTACGTCTCCTGCAGACTAGCACAGGAAAAAAGGAACACAAATTAATTATGAACTGTGCACTGCACAAAACACAAACTCAAACTGGTGCACTCTAACAAAAAAATAAAGGGCTTACATGGAAGTAGAAAAATGCAAAGTGAGAGAGCAGAGTACGAACAAGCAGATGTAGGTGGAGAGCAACATGATCAAAGAAAACCTAGCTGGTCTACTACCTGAAGGGCTTGCTGTCAGGGTCTGTGTCTTTAAAGCCCATCTCCTCGAGTTTGCATCGGCGGTAGAGCTCATAATGACGCGTGTGAGTCTGCTCTCGCAGGTCCTCCATGTTAACTCTGATGAGCATTTCACGCAGTTTGACGAAATCGCAGTGATTCTCATTCTCCACTGTGAGAGACAAACATCATAGTGACATATGAATGTTTTACCCGACACATTAGATGGCATCCTGTTTATTATGGATTATAATTTATATACATA